TAGATGATCTATATAAAAAAAAAAAAATATAAATAAATTTTAAATTTTAAATATATTAATTTTTTTGAGAATTACTAAACTTAACCTGAGGGAATTTTCCTCCCCTTTCTTTTTATTTCAATTTTTAATTAAAATATTGACTTGTATAGTAATTTAAGAATAAGATTATATGTAAATTTATGAAAAGAAAAGGTTTTATTAAGTTAAAAAGGGTAGTTGTTCAGATGGTTTTTGAGAAAATTACATAATTTTGATTTTATAGTTAAATTGTATTTTTCATGATAAAAATTTTTTTTAAAACCAAAAATTGCCAAATTTTTATGCGATTAATATCCACTTATATTTATTTTATATATTTCATAAAAAAAGTTTATTTTTTTTAAATTTTTAAGGGGAGGAGGAATTATCCCCCCGGTTAAGATTAGCAATACTCAATTTTTTTTTTTAATATATAGGTGCCAGAAATTTACATTCAAAAATAATTATATTGTTTAAAAATATTTACCACCTTAAAAAAACAAAATTTTAAAAAACTAAACCAGTAATTTTATTTTTTAAAGTAAATATTATTAAATTACTAGCCAGATTTTTAAATAGATATTTAAATAAAAAATTATGAACATTTAAATTTGAATAATTTTTATATGATTAATTTCATTTTAAAATATATAATAAGCTAAAATTTTTTATAATTTAAAATAATAATATTATAAAAATATTTTATTAATTATTTTAAGAAAATAATTAATTATAAAAAAATTATTATATATATATATAAATATTTTTGAAGTTGGAAAAATTCTTTCATGTAAATCTCATTTCCAAAAATTCACATGAAAGGTAAAAATAGTTTTTTGACAAAAGTGTTTAGGAAAATTAACACAAGTAAGAAATAAACATTATTTTTAAAGAGTTCTCAACCTTATCTTTTTAACCATGTCAATAGTAAATGTAACTATTAAATATTTTACCACAGAAGTTAAAAAAGAAATTAAAGTATAGCTTTATTACTCAGAAATGTTAACCTATTATAAGACAAGTTTACCATATTTTACAGACTACAGTACCTTTCTTATTACAGTATTCTATAAAAAAGAACTTCTATTTTCTACTGATTTTACTATTTAAAATAATTTAATAAATACCTAGGTATTACATATGATAAATACCTAATTATATATAAGTTTTATATATATCTACTAATAATAAAATCTCATGCAATAGTGGAGGGTATAAGGTCAAAACCTCTGAAATCTGTATTATACCAGAGGTACTATGGTTTCCATTATACGGTAATTATATACTAAAAGTTTTCTTAGAAGAATAGCGCTAAACTTCTTTAACACCTGACTATCTATTGAAGAAAAGGAAGAAGAACCAAACTTTTTTGCTAATATTATAGAATTTTTCAAAGCATAGTCATATATAACAGCTATTTTGACTTTTAAATGAACTATTCCAAATATTGCCAGATTTTTTCAGCAAGAATCAGTCAGAATAACAAAAAGAAGTCAATAGGAAATGCGGCTGATATGAACTTCATTATAGATTATAATGACACAAATTCAGCTAATAATGACTCAGATTCACTTAATATAATAATTTCTGATAATACATCATACCAATTATAATAAGTACAATTTCTTATAAAGAAAATTATTACATCACCTTAAATTCCATTTAGACAAAAATGTAGAAAGGAAAAAAAGCTTAAACAACAAGCTGAAATTGCAGATTTTTTATTAATAAAATCTCTTTAGATTAGAAAAAGCTTTTCTTACAAAGTACTCTTGAGGATTTGAGATTAAGCAGATTAGTATCTAAGCCAAAACCTACTTCTATAAAGGAGAAAAAAACTAAAACTGTCAAGAATACTAAGAAAAAGGTAACATACATAATAACTAGATATCAATCAATAGGACTGATCATAGCTAATATTAATGATATTATTATTTACGATATTTTTTCAACCTGAAATAATACAGACTTCATCAGAAAGTCATAAAAAAAATATTTATTAAACGTATATCAGTTATTTAATGTACATCATAAAGAAATGTTAAACATCAGATTCTGCAATATACTACTGATATTATAATATTTGATATACATCACTTGTCCATTAACAATATACATTATTTTAAAGATAATAAACATTATATCAATATTTTATTATTTATGTTAATATCAATGTTAAATATTATTGAATAACAAATTATTTTATTAAATTACATTATCTATACTAAAGTCTACTAAATCTTTATAACTTTACTAATCTAATTAATTCAAAAATATTAGTTAAATGTTTCTATTAAAATTAATAATGTTTTTGTAAAAAATAAAAAAATGGTAAAATTTCTAAAGTTTACAAAGAAATCACCCTTTACAACATTTCTAATTGAATCCTTTAAAATTTATAAAAAAAGCAAAAAAAAAGAAAATTCAGTGTTTTTGTTAAAAAAAATAAAAAAAAAAGGTAGGTTTTGCAACGAAACTTACCACTTTTAAATTAACTCAATACTTTAAAGGATTTACAAAAAAAAATTTCAAAGTTATTTTTCAAAATTTACTGATTCTATCATATCTTAGTGTCTAAGAAGTACAATCTACAATAAAAGATAAAAAAAAAGTATTAATAAAAAAAATTAAAAAAAAATTTCAAAAAAAAGTTTTGAAGAAAAACTTCAAAACTTATATAAGAAGCTGACCCAAATTTCGAAAACAATTCCTACAAATAAACAAAAGAAGAAATGATTAGTTTTTGAAAGTTCAATCTACAATACCTGCAAAAAAAAATCAAAAAAATCAAAAAAAAAATAAATAAATACCATATATCCAAGATGTTGATCTACAGCAAGGTACCATTTTACAAAAAAGAAATCATTAAAGTCAGCTATTTAATATCAAAAAATTTAACCAAAGAAGTTCAAGAAGCCATTATGTAAAGATATTCTTAGTTTATTAGTTTCATCTAATGAGTTATATATTAAAGAAGTATCAAAAAATTATACAACTATATTCAAGATTATTTAATCGAACCAGAAAGAACTGAAGTTCAATATCAAAAGAACAAAAAAAATATCTACAAAAAAAAAATTATCAAATAAATTTCAAATAGAAACTTACCATATCAATATTTGCATATCTGAATTCATGCTAAAGTAACTGATCTTACAAAAAAATAATATAAAATTTAAAAAAAATAAATTAGGAAAAAAAAGTTATATTTCAAATTTCAAATCAAAATTTACCATATATTTAAATTCCAAAGCTGAAAAAATTGATACCTACAAAAAAAACAAAAAAAATTAAAAAAAAATAAATTAAAAAACATAAATTTTGAATCAAAGTTAAAAAACTGGACCTCTACAAAAAAATATTAAAAAAAACATTAAATCGTTTCTTATATTTAAAATAAAAAAAAATTTTTCTTTTCCCATTTCTCACTACCTTAAAGTCCAGTTTTGTAATATTCAAGCTGACATCTTCCTAATTAGTGATTGGAATCGATTATCATTATTAGAATCGATTTTAGAATCGATTAATCATCAATTAATCGTTAATCGAAATTATACTACTGTCAGTCACGTGACTATCAAAATTATTAAGATCGACATAAAAAATTTCCTTTTTGGGAATTTTGTACAACATAACTTGAATTTTATTGGATAACAAAATTTCCTTTTTTTGGATTTTTGTTAATGTCACGTGACATCGACCTAACTTCTTATTAACGAACTACCTCAAAATATCACGAAACAGCCGGCATTAAGAAATTAAGAAATTAACTATGTGACAAATAATGTGTGACAAATAGGCCAATACTTGTAGGGTACACAGGGAAAATCTTATTAACGCTACTGCGTCACAATAAGTAAATTCGATTTTTATTCAATAATCGATTTAAAATTGATTCTTATCGATTTTTGATAAATTCGATTATTGTAAAATCGATTCCAATCTCTATTCCTAATATATGTCTATCCTACAAAAAAAATAATAATAAAAAATGTTAAGTTGTTTCTTAAATTAAAAAAAAAAAATCAAAAAAAAAATAAATCAAAAAAAAATATGTAAGTTTTAAAATAAAACTTATATTACTTTCAAAAAAAAGAGGTGAAAGAAAAGTGTGAGAAAAAAGATGGATGTAAGAAAAAGAAAATAATGAAAGGGGAAGGAAAAAACAATAGGAAAAAGAAAGAAAGTAAAGAAGTATAGGAGAAAGAAAGAAGGAAAAGGGAAAAGTTTAAAAAAGATAATCTTTTTTTAAACTTTTGATATGTATAACGCATAATGACATAATATTTAATTTTAACCAACATATAATTATAAATTATGATTGAATTATTTAATTTTACTAGTCAAATATAAGCCAAATTTTACTAAGGCTGAATATTCCTTTTTCAACTAATGAGAAAAGAGGAAATGTGAGAAAGAGAAAGAACGGAAAAAGAAAAAATAAAAAGATAAAGAAGAAAAGGAAGTTTTGTTTATCATATTGCTAAGATTATATTACGTAATGTGATAATAAATAAGGGCTAATATAAAAATTTATTTTCAAATACATTATATAAATTTATTCATTCAGTGTCATTTGATAAACATTAAATTTTCATTATTAAATGCTGCACATCATAATTTTTTTTTTTTTTTTTTTAAAAACTTTATTATAGATGCGATCATGTCTTATTATAATCACGCTTACTTACATATATAAACTTACAAAATATAAGATAAANGCGATCATGTCTTATTATAATCACGCTTACTTACATATATAAACTTACAAATATAAGATAAACAAATACATATAAGAATTAAGCATTATGAAACAATACTACTTTTCATAAAGAACAAGTCGACTTGTCACCTAAACGATCACATCATTGTTAAAAACCATGATGCGACCTCAAATTCAGAGGTGACTGTCATGATCTACCTAAAAATTTGCCCAATGACCATCACAATGGAATGCCAAATCATTCCATTTGTTCCAATTACTTTCTAACATATAATAGTCAACATCTTTGACACCTACTTCAGTGCTTTTACTATGTGACTTAGCTTTTTTATCTTTACCACTAATACCACACCTCATTTCTTCCTTTACTACATGTTATAAATAATATGCATGTATGATTCTTTCTTTATTAAAAAAGCTGTATGTACATACTATCAGATACAGAAAGATAAAATAAACGAAAACAAATTTTCTAAATAATTCGTTAAAACTACTGAAGAAGTCTATATATTTTTCTTTCAAATAAAATTTGCCATATGTAAATATAATCAAATATGGAATGATGTGAAACTAAAAATAAATTCAATAGACAAAACTGACTATATATTTTTCTTTCTAACTGAATAGCCTGCACATCATAATAAAAATCTCATTGATGATATTTATTAACATTAAATATTACATATTTATTTAAAATAATGAATATTATAATATATATGATCTACAAAAATATATATATGATAAACATTATTTCTGTGATTTTCTAATGTTATTACACCACTTGGAAGTCTGGGTAAAGTTATTTCTATTAAGATTACTCAGCAAAAGAAGTATAATACAATTAGATTAAAATTAAAGATATTGTAAGCTTATCTTAAATAATAAAATCTAGACAGTTTCATTAGGAAATATTTTAGTGAAGTGATTTCCAGCCACCTGATCTCTCTAATATGAAAGAAAATAAAGAGAGAGATTTCAAGCAGCTCTCTTTGAATATATCAGAGTCGATGACTACTGCTATATTGTTTTCTAATAATCAAATCTATCTGGCTTTATTGGCAATAAGCAGTTTCAAAGCCTTTAAAGTTATCATTACTGAAGAATAGAAGTACAAACTTGTAACTTATCTGGAAAAATGGGAAGATCTTAACAATCTTATAGGAAAGAATTACAAAATTGATGGTAAAACTTTAGATTGATATCATTATACTTTTTCATATTTTACCAGAAAACCTAAAGATAGGTCAAATATTAAAAATAAATTTAAAGGTTTCAACAACTTTCAGAAAAAGAATTTCAATCCAAAGAATAAAGTTACAGGTACTAATCAAATTCTTCTGAATATTTGAACATATCAAGATCGAAAGAGGTTTTTCTAATCAGAACTACAAGTCTAGTAATAAACAAGACAAGAAAAAAAAGAATCCTAGAATCTTCAAGAAAAAATTATACAAGAAAGTAACAGAATAAAAGGAGATGTTAAAGAAGCTAACAAACAGAATCTGAAACAGGTGACCTATTTTTGGTTTATATATGAGAAATTGGATTTTTATTTAATATAGATTTAGTTTTAATTTTTATTTTTTAGATAGAAATTTTTGTTTCTTTCAGAAATTTTTTTTATTCTAATTAGTTAGTATGTAAATTTAAATACGGATTTCTACTTTTGCTGCTAACTACTTTTTTTTTTTTAGATATGATGTGTTATCTTATGAAATATATTTGTCATTGTATGTCAACGAGTAAGCTATTATTTCAATTGTTTAAGTTTTTAAAGATTCGTTTCCTTTTATATTGATTTGTAATAATTTTTTTGAGTATAATAAAAAAAAATAAAAATAAAAATAAAAATATTTTAATTTAAATAGCTAATTATCATTTTTTTTTTTACTAAAAATAATCTTATTTTTTTTTATAAAAAACAGTACAATTTTAATCATAAAAGATAACTTATTTATTTAAAATATAATATTACAATATTTTATATATTGTTTATAATTAAAGTTTCAATTTTTATTGGCTAATATTTAATTATATAATTGTACTATATTAATTTTAAATATTTAATATATTTTCTGTAAAATAATTATATTACTATTATTTGTTATTATTATTATTATTATTATTTGCTGCAATATATTTAAACTTTTATTAAAATAAATGAGTTTGTAATATATTATACAAATGAAAATAAACTATATAAACTAATTTAATAATAAGATTTAAACTACTCGTCATCCTAAAAAGAATCTCACATATACACTATCAGATCATTTAGGTGGAATTTAGGTTATGAGTTTGTTATTATTAAATAATATATTTTTATTAATATTTTAAATAAAATAATAGTTTAAAAATTTGATAAAATAATTATAAAAATTATTCTTAATATATTAGATATAAAAAATAGAAAATTTCAAAGTTTACACAGGGTGTTTGAACACGGGTCATATGAAATATAATGACACCAATGTCACACCCTTTTACTTTTTCTATGCAATATATGTATTTTTGACTGCTCTGCAAGTTTACTTAAGGCATCAAAGGGGGTTTTGAATGCCGTTGTTGACTAATATATGAAAAACTGTCTTTGCCGATCATTTCCTAAATTTTTTCAAGAGCGATCGGCAAAATCAATTATTCATAGGTAAAGTCAAAACTGACATTCAAAAGCACCTTTGATTCCTTAGATAAACTTGTAGAGCAGGTAAAAATCCATTTATCTACTAATTTTGAAGTTTATATTATTAGTCAAAATGGTAATAATCACATGACCCAGATTCAAACACCCTGTGTATAAATAGAAATTGCCTAAAAAATATGATATTATATTTAAAATAACAAAAATTATAAAAAATTTAGCTTATTTTTATCAATAATTATTTTTAATATTGATAATTATTTTGTTAACAGATATTTCACTAATAATTATTTTATTAACAGTTTATCCATTTACCTTAATTTAATTTTAACTTAATCTTAACTCTATTTTTCTATTTTATTAACTTTAATTTTAATTTTAAATTTCTTTATTAGTAAGATAATTAAAGATTTCTAATGTGATATCTACTTATTGCTGTTTTCTAATTACTGTGATCTAGCATTTTTTAATAAAAAAAAAAATTTTTTGAGAAAACATATGAAAATAAAAATTTTATTGCATTTTCAAATAAAGGAAATATGATTATAAGCTAAAAATTATAATTTTAAGAAAAAATTATCAATCTTTAAATAAGTTTGCTTATAAATAACTTTTAAAAACAATTTGTTACACAAAATTTTAAAAAGTTACTTTATAGATGCCGTCGGAATTATTTTTACGGTTACGGCATGTGCCGTATCACCGTAAAAAAAAGCCGCAAATCGTAAATGCCGTAATGCCGTAATTTAATTTGACGCCGTAATGCCATAATTTAATTTGGTGCCGTAATGTCGTAAATTTACATGGTGTAAATAGATAATTAAAAAATAATTCATTTACATTTATTTTTAAGAAACTTCAAATTCTCTCTTTTTTTAGGAACGATATCACTAAGTGGAAAAGGATTTTCTTTGAAATTTACTTTAAGAAATGACATTTAACTTCGTTTCTTATTCTTTTTTTTTTATTTACTAAATGTAATCAACTAAATATAATGTTTATTTATATAATTAATTTTATTCACTAATAATTATAATGTTTATTTACTAATTATCATGTTTTATAATGTTATTTAATACTAATTATAATGTAATTTCATTTACATTGTTTACTAATCTGTTTCCGATTCTTCATCAAATATTGCTTCAAAATCAATATTTGAATCCTCATAATTTATAGATTCATCAGGTTGTTGGTCCGAAATATTTGAATTCGAATTATCATCATTTTGTTCGTTAAAACTATCTAAATTCATGATATTTTCCATAATCAAATCATTAGTATTAGCATCATCATCATTCAAATCAATACTTTCATCATCCAAAACAATATCATCATCATCAATGAAAATATCATCATTATTAATCATAGCTGTAGTAATTTCTTGTAATGCAGTTTCAAGCTCATTTTCACTTAAATCACTACTAGAAAATTTTAACTCTGATTTTGCATTTGTAATATAGTAGGAGTGCATTTGAGCCATGGATTGGAGGCGATCAATATCTAACCTAAAAAAAAAAAAAATTATTAATAAATTAATATTATATTATTACTGTTATTAAAATTAAACAAATACCTTGTTCTCCGCTTTCCTATCATCCAATTTAATACTGAAAAGGCTCGTTCACATGCAGCTTGATGAGGAGTAATAGCAAATAACTTTAAAGCTAATTTTTGAATATAATTATTTGGCTGTCGACAAGTTGACCACCAAAGTTCAGGCGTATCATATTCATCAGTATATTCCATATCATAAGGTGGTTCATTATCACCATATGATCGAAGTTGTGATAGCAAAATTTTGCAACTTCTTTTATCACTACCAAATTTTGACCAAATTTTCATAGCAGTTAATGCCATTTGACGAAATGTACTGTCTTGAAATTTCTTGTCTAATATGAAAAGTAGGAACAATAAATACATTATATTTAACAAATAAGTTAGAAAAATAATCAACTTTACCTCTATATCTTGGATGGAGGAAAAAGGCAACAAGATATGTATCAGTATCAAACTGTGCCCAACGTTTATTAAATATGTTAATACAATTCTTTTTGAAATTTGGATCAAAATAATTTGAAATCTTTTTAATTTCAACTGCCATCTGAATTAATTGCAAAAAAATTGATGCCATATTACTCGAATTAGCTTCAACAGCTTGAATTGCTTTTTTAGCAGGTGCAAGAATTGTATGAAGTTGTTCAACATCTTGAAAAAACTGGCGATTTTGAAGAAGATTTTTTATTGCTATTGCATTAATAAAAATTTCAGTTTGAGTTTCAAGAACCTAAATTATAATCCAAAAATAAATATTATTAATTTTAGTTTATTATTAAATATGTTATTATTTGTTAACTTACATTTTTGAGATTATTTTCCAAACGGATAATTGAGTCACAACAAGTCCATGCAGTAGACCACCTTGTTTTTACTGATGTCTTAAGGCCACCTCCTTCTGTTAAAGTTTGAATAATATCTTTTTGGAGATTTGCACCTGCACGATATGATGTTTTAAAAAAAGTTATAATAGATTGGCATTTTTTTAATGTGTTTTTTGCAAAATCCAATTTAATAATATCACTTGAAACTAAATTCAAATGGTGTGCCATGCATCATATAGATAAAATATGGGTGTACTTTTCAGTAATTAGTCTTCTCGCCATTTGCATTGCTGATTCAGCATCTGATACTACAGCTGCAAATTTTTCTGGGCCAATTGAAGTCAAAACTTTTTCAATTTCAGTAGCATTAAAAGTTCCAGTATGAGAATCCATTGATGTATCTTTCAAAGTATGAATATATTGCCTTTTACTTGGGGTAATTATTATAAATGCATAAATAGATCTTCCTAAAGGATCACACCATCCATCAACCGCTATAACAAAATTAAAAATATTAATATGTATGTAAAAATATTAATTAATTTGATATACAGTAATTAAATAAATTACCTAATGTTAAATTTTTTTCATATTTGAGTTCTTCTTTGATTTTATTTAAAATTATAGCAGTTTCATGATTTAAGAAAGTTGTTGATAGGGTTGTTCTTTTAGGAGGACCATAAGCAAAACAGAGACTTTGAACAAAATCAATAAAATAAGGATGACCAACGGTTGAGAATGGTATTCCACAGCAAATAAAAAATCGTATAAGTGCTTGATCGATTTTATCTTTTCTATCCGCAGTAAGCTCAGCTGATGAATCAGAATCTGTTTTTTGTTTTCTATTCATAGTAGATGTAGTTCCAACAGCCAGCATTTCCATATATTCTGTTTTAATATATAGTGGAACATCTTTACAATACAATGCTAAATGTGACTTCAAAATTTCTGGTTTTCCTCTAGACCAGTTTTGATTACAGTAATGACATCTAGCTGTGTAATGCCCACTACCCAATGGTTCTTTAAAATAATGATCCCAGACATGTGATTCTTTACGACCCCTTCTAACTTCTCTAATATTTTGATTATCAAATAAATCTGTTGAATCCATTTTTACAGTCACAAAGATTATGTAAAAGCAAAAACGTAATACACAATTTGTAAGATTATTTAAGTTAAAAAAAAGATTATCAAAATCGTGATTCATGTTACACATCAACTGATTAGAAGTCTATGTAACACAAAATATTTTTTATTTCGTAATAATAAAAAATTTCAAAAATTTCTAAGTTGTTTGATTTGTTTCAATTTTATTTATCAATGGTTTAGACATTTGTCCAAGCTAGTTCAATTCCAACAGGTAACTAGATAATGTTCCTAAAGAATGAAGGAATGAAAGTTAATAATATTTCTTAAAAGTAAATGCAAGAAACTTTCCTCTGCTTACCATAGATTCGTCAATGGTTGAACCATTCCCTACCTACAAAGTTCTTCATGTATCTTATTTAGTTCTTTGTATTTTGTACAAATTAACGTCTTAATAAAAATAAAAATAAAAACATTTTATATACATTCTATTGTTGGATTACTTTTTATTAGACGTGTTTTTTGCATACATTATTATATAAAAATAAGCACATTTTTATATACGTACTATTGTTGGGTTACTTTTTATTAGACATGTTTTTTTTTGCATACATTATTATATAAATGTTAAGAAAAATCCTCTCCACTTAACCATGAAGTCGTCCAAGAAGTCCACAAAAATTGTTCTGAAAAAAAGAAATAAATTTAGTTGTTGTTTTTGACAGTAAATATCAAAAACAACCTCTTTCCACTTACCAGAAAATCCAAGAAATCCTGCAAGAACTGCTTCTAAAAAAGAAAAAAGAAAGCGAAGTTAATGTTGTTTCCTAAAGTAAATGTCAAAAAAAAAAAAATCCTTTACTACTTACTAGGAGGTACAAGAAGTCCACAAGAACTGTTCCTAAATACAAAGAAAAAGAAATGAAGTTAGTTAATATCATTTGCTAAAAGTAAATAAAAAAAAACCTTTACCTACAGGAAGTCTGGGAAATATAAGAAAATACTTCTAAAAATAAAAAAAAAGAAGTTAATGATATTTCAGAAAGAACTGTCCCTAAAAAAAAAAGGTGCGCTGTAAACATTTTTTTTAAAAAAAAATATTTACGGCATATATATTTGCGGCATTACGGCGCTAGATTAAAATACGGCATTACGGCGTCAAATTAAATTACGGAATTACGGCATTTACGATTTACGGCATTTTATTACGGTTACGGCATGATTTACGACATATGTCGTAACTCCGAAATGTCATAATTAGGGAATTCCGACAACATCTATAAGTTACTTATAAGTAAACTTATTTAAAATTGAAAATTTTTTCTTAAAATTATAATTTTAGCTTATAATCATACCTCCTTTATTTGAAAATGCAATAAAATTTTTATTTTCACATGTTTTCTCAAAAAATTTTTTTTTTATTAAATAATGCTAGATCACAGTAATTAGAAAACAGCAATAATTAATTAGTACAAAACTTATATTCAATAAATTTTTTTTAAAAAAAATTTATAGTATGGCTGAACCAGGTTTTATTAAAAATTTAAAATCATACATAATTACAAATATGAGAAAACCCTTCACTTCCACTATGCAATAGGAATTTCCTGGCATATTTGTATTAAATAATACTTCGCACCAATAAGAAATAAAATGAAAATAAAAAAAAAATAAAAATAAAAATAAAGGGAAACAGTCAGTAATGAAACCACTCTACAAATTATTACACTCCTAAAATTAGGCTTTACTGATCATTTTGTATGGAATTTCTCAAGATACTTCTAATTTTTTTAGCATCGATCTAATATCAGCTAAAATCGTAAGTTTATTAATACCGTTTAAATTCTTGTCAATTTTTTTGGCTTGCTTGGTTACCTTAGTTTTTTTACTTAACTATGTTGTATTAGTAAAATTCTGAAAGACCTTAGAATTATTATCTTACTTCATCTTCTGATGGCAGTTTTTTTTTTGCTTTAAGTTAAAAGTAAAGTATCCTTTCCAATTCTTTTAAGCTGAAAGCTTTATTAAGAACTTTATCCAAGTCAGCCTATGATTCATAGTAAGTAATCAACTTACAGAATACAGACACTCCTATCTTGAATGCTTTACATCCAATAGGTATAAATATAAAATAAGCAGAATTAACCAGATATAAAGTTGTAATAATGGTATAGAAGCAAAAACTTCTATTAATACTGCCTGAAATCGTTTCCATTCTTTCCTTTGTTTGAGATTCCAATTAGTTAGAAACTATTGTATGGTAAACTTTCAAGTGGAGCAATCCAAGTTCCACCATTCTATAGATCTATAGCCATCTCGTTGAAATCAACTAACACTGTAACAGTAGTGTATTTCTATTGCGATTTAAATTTAATTGCAATTACTAGGATCCTAAATATCTAATATAAAGGTCATAATAAACTTTTAGCCAAAAACACCTCTTTTTATTGAAACTTAAAAATTCATTTTTGTAAATATCTCAGCATCCAGTGATTCAATTTTAATGAATTTTTTTTATTTCATAGCCCTTATTTAGCTCTACAATTTAAAAAAAATTCATCAAAATTGGACTACTGGATGCCAAGATATTTACAAAAAACAATTTTTTGAACCCTTGAAAAATGGGCCAATTTGCCAAAAGTGTGATTTATGAAAACTACTATGCCATGTTTACTCCAAAAGTATGATTTGTGTACTTACACGCCTTTCATCTCTTTACCTCCTCCAACCTTCAATGTATCACGTAACTCTGGAACTGATTGTTTTATTATGGATCATATTGGTATAATCACTTTATAGGTTTTATGGGTCATTTAACAGTGCTACTTAACAACTGTTTTTACAAGATGAAATGCTGAGTTTTATATTAGGTGCACTATCTGTTGTTTTATTAGCATAGTTGCATTTACTTTGATTGAAATATATCAAGGGAAATGATCTAGAAAGATTTAGTATAAATTGATATTTTATTTTATAGAAGTCATTTATTGTATTTCTTTTTAGGAGACTATATAATTTATTTTTAGTTAGTTTTTTATTTTTAAATTTTTTTTTTCTTATATATATTGTAAATTTTGATAAATTATTATTAATAAAAATAAGGCTACTATGCCATGTTTGCTCAAAAATGTGATTTATGATCTGTTTTGGAGATATTTGGATCCTCAATTACTTGATTCCAAGTTTTTAAGTAATTAAGTATGTCAAGTTAAATCCATCTAGAGAGAATATCATAGACTGTAATTTCACATATATTATCCTTAACTTCAGGATCATATCCAGTTATCACAGTGCTAATAGTCTTAAGTGTTAGTGTTACTAGTTGTTTCATAGTGATCATAGAATAACTCTTACTAGTAGGACTAGCCTTTAAAACTTGCACAGTTTTCCTTTTCTTATCCTTTATAGGAATAGGTGAATTCAGTTTACTAGAGTTACTATTTGAGTTCTATTTAACTATCTTTGCATAAGAAATTTATCCATTCTTTTCTTAGGAGTAAAAGGTATAGCTTTTGCATTGAAAGAAATAATTAGTTTCTCAGGTTGTGCAATATTCACTGATTGGTACATTGAATTTTCTAAAATTTCTATATCTATCAGTTGATTCTCTACTAATTTGGTTTATTGTGATAACATTATATTATGACTTATGAATCATACTTTCTGTACTGTTTAGTCAAACTTATTGACAACCAAATTTCTAAAGTACACAGAAACTTCAAGCAAAATAAACAGAAAGTGATAAAACTTGGTGAAGTCTTTCATACTAAAAATTCTAAGAGTATCTTAAAACTCTAAATATATTATTTATAAGAGAGTCAAGTCTTAGTTACAAATATCTTTAACAGTCTTTACTATATTTTATTCAGTAAGCTTTTTTAAGGAATATTTTGTAAGATTAAACCTATAAACAAGTTTAAGAACTTATATTTAATAATACAAAAAGTTCAATCTATATAAATGAAAGTAATATAAAATAAATAATGCAATATAGTTGTATTCAGATATTCTGATAATTGTTAATAAAATATTTGTTTACAAAATAATTCTATTAGTAAAATATATCAGTGAAATAATTATTAATAAAATAATTGTTAGTATAATAAATGTAACCTATTAAGTTATTTAGCTTATTATAAAATTACCTTTCTTTTTAATCAAATTTAATAGCTAATTAAGTTATTATATTTATAAATGGAGTTTGCTATTTATCACTGGTGGTGATTATCACCGGTATTACAATTTTTTATTTTTCACGTGATTTAAGATCAATTTAACATTTTATTGTTAAAAAATATAAAATTTTATTGCGTAACAGTAAATCATGCGTCTAATAGTAATTATTATTTCAAAGTTTTTTTTTCAGCCGATTATACAAGAAATCAAGAATACGCAACTAACAAATATTTTACATTAAACTAAACTTTAAACTCCACTCCTACTAAATCTACTATGTCAACTAAAGTTTAGTTATTATTTTCTTTATCAACTAAGTCAGCTTTATGTTGCCTACAGTACATCTTCTAATATTATGCCCTTTTTCCAGACAATAACTACAGGTTTTAGAAGATGAAGATATATGTTGATTATTGTTCTCTTCAGTTGATGATTTATATCATTTCGAAGGATGACCTTTTGGCTTGTGATATTCTGGATTTGATATTTTCAGAATATTACATTCTTCCACTACAACTAATAGCTGTCGCTGGTAATTATAGAAGGATTCTTGAATTTCATCATTAAAATGTGATATAGAATAAACTTCCTTTATATTTAATCCAGTATTACGACGATATTTCATAATGAATTGGATAAGAAGTCTGATCAATTCTGATGCAACACCTTCTGCTACAGCAACTTGAACACTTGTCTTTGCTACTGACATAGTAGAACCAAACTCAATCTTTTTACTAACTTTTTCTTTAATATTTGACGTATAAACATTTGCAGACCGAATTTATATAAAGCTTTGGTAGTATAATCTTTATTTCCTTGAGCAACTATAATATAATTAGTTGTTTCAGTTAATATTGATTCATACCAACGTGGATGAATAAACCCCATATGAAAAATAACTTTACTAGACTGAAGTAAAACCCGATACTGATGTCGACATGGCATTCCTTGATTGATAATATACATACATGTACAAAATAATGTTGAATCTTTGAGAATTACTACATAATGTGGTGTAGATGTTGATGATGTTATAGTGATATAATAAATCTCACATATTTCTTGGATTTCGTCACTGTTTATATCTGATAAAAGATCTTGTAATCTAATTTGCGGTTTATCATATATACGTTCAATTATATCATTAGACTGCTCATTATCAGATTCTTTAACTTGATCAATTGAAATTAATATTCTCTGATATAATAATGACTGTTTCATTTGAGCTCGTTGAAGTGATAATGGAATAGGTGCTAAATGATCCTTTAAAATAGAGTCAATATTTTTGAAAATCGTATTATACGTTGACAGAAGACCAGTTGATAGATTTGACCCATAATATTCCTTAATTCGATTATATTGTGCTTCTTTGTCCAGTTCATTTTCAATGACTTTTACTAACTCCTTTAATAAAGTTCCTTGATCTAAATGTTTTTTAAGAACACCATTAATGGATTCAACTCGTTGAGTTGACTTAACACCTGCTGTAAATACTTTTGAAATCACGTATCTTGCCCATGATTCACGATTAGGGTAAAGTTTTTTTCAAGATAAAATCGACACAACTTATACTTTGTGAGCATTTCAGTGTATTTTAATTCAAATTGATACTCAGTGTAACTATTACGCATATGATAAAAATCTTCAATAAAATTCTGAACCATATCATTACATAGTAAGGCTTTGGCTTTCTTTTTTATATTTTCTGCAATATGATAAATACATAACAAATGACGCGTTTGTGGATAAACAATTTGAACAGCAGCTAGCATTACCGTGTTCCCGTCTGTGTATAATACACGAAGTGAAAAATTATTTGTTACTTTTAAAGTGCATTGTAATATCCAAATATAATCAGCTTGTATCTCATACTTCGTAAGAGCTTGAGCAAGAACTCTTGTTTTAAAATTATTGTCAATTCCAACAAACAAGCTTAGCGTCATTTCGTATCTATTCATTTTTGCCGTATTATCATGAATGACAACATCATAAAACTTAGGCCAAAGTTCATTACGCTGTTTACTTGTTAACCAAAAAAGACTGGTAAGTTCGTTAGATAGCCTTTCTAAGCGTGATATTACTACATAATTAGGATCTTCTTCATATTGTTTAAAAGATATAGGAACATTGTAGCAGCATCAGTTTCGTCATGAATCCGAACACCTCGAAACTTTTGGATTGCGTTATAGAGGTTTTTTTTTTAATATGGTACTGTGGAAACTCATGAACAAGAAGATCATATTGTTATCCTGCACTTAGGTTATCCTTTGTAGTATAATGTTCAATTTTATCTAAAATTGATTGTGGAAAGCGTAAGTTTTTAGGAGCTAACTCTATTGAAATAGGATCACATTGATGATTATAGCTATTGTTAAACTTCATAAGATGTATATCAGCAGCACGTTTGCTAAAATAGAAGTTAGCTTGACAAGGACAGTTTGTTTTAGTTGAACTACTCTCACGATGTAATGTAATATCCTCTACTTTTTTTGGATTATTAATTTCAGCTTTTCAACATTGATAAACACGACGATGAGTAATAGTTTTATCAATAATGTCAAGATCTTTACGAAATTTAATAGCAACAAAACCATTGTTTTTTGCAAACGTACTATTAACAGCAGTTTCAACTGCATTCCAATCTTTGAAGGTATCGTTAACATTTAATATTTCAGTTGTAATTGTTGTATTATTAATATTAGCTATATTATTATTACCATTCATATTATTTTGTTCACAATCAGGTTCAGTAATTATATCTAAAGATACCGTTACTTGCTTTCCTTTATTTGTTAGATGAAATTGGTCAGATGGTTGGCCTTGATATTGATATTCGTAATCCATCAATTGAAGCAATTGGCCTTGGTTTTGATATTCATAATCCATCAGCTAAAAACCAGATGATAATTGGCCTTAAATTTGATATTCGTAATCCATTAGCTGGAGATAAGATGATAGCTGGTCCTGATTTTGATATTCATAATCCATCAGCTGATCAGATGATGGTTGGCCTTGGTCTTGATATTCATAATCCATCAGTTGAAGGTTAAATAGTTGGTTTTGATATTCATTATTCATAATTAATATTCGTAATTTATAGGTTGATTATCAATATTATAGTGACTGATATCTAACTTTAAAGTTGTTTATAAGACTGGCCGTGAAGACAACTGAAAAAGAAGCTTAAAAACCTAAAAAATTGGAAAGAGTATTTGTGGGAAAATCAAGTTAGTTACTCTTTTGTAAAATAAAGTAAGTATTAGTTCTATAAAATTTACTAACTTGTTAAACTTTGATATCTAACTTCAAATTTTTTTTCAGATGCTAACTATGAAGCTTAAAGAAAAGACGTGTCTAAGAAAGAAAGTGTTTATGGGAAACGCGTTTATGAAAAGCATTTGTGGGAAAAGAATAACTTAACGAAACAAATAATGATGGAATAAGTTACGTGATAAAGCGAACTATATCATTAGTAGTAAGATTACGCAAAAATAATTACCAGTGATGATCATCAGTAAATAAAGTTAAAATCTAATTATATAACACCGGTGATGATCACCGCAGGTGATATGTAGCAATTTTCTATAAATTATATGATTTTATTAAATATAATGTAAAATTTTGGCTATTTTTTTTTTTCTTTAATAATTATATTATAAGTATTACTTTTTTAAATAATATACTATTATTAGAAAATTTATATAGTATAATATCTATCAGTTATCTATTTTATTAATAGTAATAACTAATTAAATATAATTTATTACTAGTAAAATATTTGTTTATATATATAAATTTACATTACTTAATATTTAGTAAAATTATGTAATCTCAAAATTATAAATATTACTATTTTTCCAATTATATATTTAAAATTTTTTAAATTAGAAATTATATAATTTACTTTAAAAAGTAAAAAATAAAATGTATTATAAAATAAATACAAATAAAAATAAACCAAATAAACTTTTAAAAAAGTTATTTTTTTTTATTATAAAAATAAAAATTAATTATAACATAAATTATATATTTTTATTATTAGGGGTATACCAGAAATTAGCTAATTTGAAAGAAGGTGGGGGGAGTCAAGTTCAAATCAGGTCTATATATATTATATGATATTTATATATCTAAATATAAATGCTATATAAATAATTTAATTGCCGATCCGCATGTGATCGATAGAATTTACATAGTAAAATGTGGCGTTATGTTAATTAATAAAAAAAATGCCGTTTGAAATCTCTGTTTCCCCAAGAAACAATAACGTCAAATACATACATAACTCCTAAAAAACTTGTTGCAACTGGCGCTATTATAT